GAAGAAAAGGTGTAACGAGACACCACCCAAGACCCGAACCATACTCTAAGTATCCGGAAGGGGTACAAAGAATTTAGCTCGTTTCCAACCACCCAAGCGGTCAAACCACCAGGGCAACCCACCCACGGGACCCACTTCATTCTATATGTATCCATATACAAGGATATGGATACATATAGCTTGAGGTGTTTTGCACCCACCCAAGAAAGTCCATGGACCTGGAGTAGGTTTTAATGATCCAAGGATTAAAAGAGCCTACCCCATTCCAACCACCAAGAGAAAAGGCCAGTCCTATTGTTGGAACAATAAGGAGAGGCCAAATGAGTAATCACAAATCCAAAAGATGGTGGGGGTGCATGGCCGTATTGAGAGCTCTTTCAAGGTAACATGTAAATTATTATTACTCGTAATCAAATGAATACAATAATGTCAAATGCTTAACCACAAGATGGTTACTTGCATTAGTACATAAAAAAACGACCTAAACACCTATACAAAACAGAAAGTTACAATTCAAAATGCACCTACACAACAACAGTAGTAGGCCATACAATTAACAGAATTTGATCCACTAAGAACCCAAGAAATAACCCATTACAAACACAGCAAAGATGATTACAAACAAAAGGAAATAAGCTTCAAATCCAGTCTCAAGTGTTGCAACGCGTTCCACATTCCAACTGAGAGTCTAGCAAGGCAGTGGTTAGCTTCAGCAGCATCATGTATAACCAATCTCAGCATTCAGGTTCAGAAGATCAAGACCCCACCTTGCACAAACAAAAGGGGGACGGTCTGAACCTATGTAGTAGATAGTCTACACAAGAACGGCTACTTGCCACCCATGACTCAAGTTATCAGCAACTCAAAAATTCTAGTGACAGCATCAATGAAGAGCAAGACATCCAATGCAAACAGGTGTGTGCACCTCCCTTCGAAGAATACATCATCTCTTCTACAACACAGGGAGGTGAAGTAGTCAAAATGCAAGACCAATCATCACAACTCAATCAAAAATCCAAGGTCAGCATATCCAATTTGAAGGTTAAGCACAAAACATGGTGTACAAAATGATGACACCAGGCACAGCGAGTAATAACCCAAGCAGAGGTACAAGCCACAGAAGAGCGAGCATCCACCAAATCATCTAAACTCCCATCTGTCAGTAATATGGGCAGCAAACAAGCATTCTTCATAAGAGTGGCTATAGGAAAAGTGTTCAGAAGCATGAAACCTGAGTCTCCAATCCCAGGGTCCATAGTAACCCAGACACACATCAGAACCAGTCAACCAAGTCAAAGCACATCAAGGAGGACTAGCCTTTATACATATACAAATCAAAGAAAGAGTTGTAATATGCATTGTGGGCTAGGTCTTAGAGCAAGAGAAAAGTGAGGGAGAAGTGAAAAACAGAAGAGGGGTGTGGGAAGAAAGAAAGAAGGAAGAAGGGGAAGGGGGGGAATAATCAACAAAGGAGAAGGCAGGGTGCAAACACCCCCAACAGGACCCAGACTTAAGTCAATGTATCTAGAAGGGGTACAAAGATTTAAGTCTTTTTCAGCCACCCACAAGGGGTTCACCCACCCCAAAAACCCAGGCCAAACACAACCACCTACATAGTCCCACTCAAATGAAGGAGTAGGCTTATGTAATGAATTGTGTCCAACAGAAAAGAAGGAGGGAAGGGAAAGAGAAGAGGGAGGTGTAAGAGGGGAAGAAATGAAGGGAGGGGGAGGGGATGAAAGAGAGAAGATGGGTGAAAACACCCCAACCGGGACTTAATGGTACCTCTTTATATCCAAAAGGGGTATAAAGAGGTAAGATTGTTTCCACCACCCCAATACCATAGTCCAGAGACTAAGCCATTGAGGTTGGCCCAAACCCAAGGAACAGCTAACTTAGAAGAGAAAATGTTCCACACCCCAAGGACCAACATCAGGACCCAGGTCAAACTTTAGATATCCAGAAACTGGGTATCTACTATTTGAGCTATTTCCGAGTAAGTCCAGGACCTGAAGTTACCTCTACAACCCACACAGGGTCAAAGGGTTAACCTCATTTCCACCACCCCAAGCAGTCAAGCATGGATCAAACATTCCTCAAACACAGAGTTATAATTAGAAGTAAGGGGAAAATCACAGGGTTTAGAACCAAGGTATCCTCAAAAAAGATTTTACCTTGATTCTAAGGGAACACAGTCAAAGAAGTATCAGAGTCTGGTCCCAAGCACATCTTTTAGAGGATCAGGAGTTCCTGGGGGTATAATCTCTGCATCACCTTATAAACCCCCACTTTGATTTTGTTAATGATGGCGTCAGTGTTGAACCCTTCATGGTCAAATTAGCATCCAGTTCTGCTTCTCCAGATGGTGTAGACAGTGCACATGATTGCCAGTCTCCACATTTTCCTCTTAGCACAATGACTATTTCTCTGTCTTCCTACCCATTCAATGGCTCTCTCAAGTGTGGTTAAGGCTGGTGCAATTTTAAGCCAGTTTCTGTTG